TCAATCTCATAACCTGGTTATTAATTTGAAATTTTAAAATTCTGGTCATTCCATATGAATAGCTGCTGTTTGTTGACACTTCTGCAGAACAAAACCAGCTTTCATCTTAACTACACAGATAGATGTTGCTATCATTCAGATTCCTGTAAGTATTTATTTTAGAATTTGGTAAAACATGGAATGGATAATAATATCATATATCATATAAGATTTAATCATAATAACTTAATTAGTAGCCTAGTTATTTAATTGCTAGACTATTCACAATTTCAAAACTAAAGATATATAACTCTAAAATTGCTGACCAAATACAATCCTTGCCTTTTTTGGGTTGCTTTGCTTGAAGTCAATAGAGTCTACAGAGTGAATCTTATGATAATGATCAGACTTACTATCAATATCTTGCAGAACAATATAGTATAAACAAATGCTAAATTTGTATAGCTTTAAATGAGTTAACAACTTTCTCAATATAATTAATTAGAAAATAAATTTTAAAAAAATGATTTACAAGAATTAAATATGTAAATTTTTATTTATCTATTTTATATATGCTGCATTTTGTAGATTTAATAAGTTGAAATATGTGTGGATTCTTAGAATATGTTCCTTTCTTTAAATGTGATTGTCATTTTATCAAGATAATTAGAAAAACTGATGACCTCCAGAGAAGAGAGACCTATTTATTTCTCTTGTAACTTAAAATTTTGTTTATATGATCATATAAATAAATTACCTTTAACTCAGTATGGAAGTACCAAGGACAAAAGAAAAACATCAAGCCTACTTTACTTTTTGAGTAATTAGGCCATACTTAATGAATGTAATTAAAAAAACCAAAACTTGTTAGGTTTTTTATTAATGAGAATATAAGTGTTGACCGAGTAGTATGGTTTCTGATTAATTGCTTTCCAGTTATAAATATATTAATTTCTAAGTTTGATCTTAGCCATTTTAAGACATTTTGTTTTGTAAGGTTGCTTAGTTACTTATATTTTCCAGTTTTTCTTGAGAGGAAAAGCAATCTAATCAGCAGGTTTGTAAAAACTAAGAGAATAATAATATTTTGGAATAAAATTATTTGTTGAATTTTTTTGTAATTATTATTCTTTCTATAAGTTCCAGTCTACAAGGCTTCTGGTTCAAATTCAAGGCTTTATTAAAATTGATGTATGGGATAACAAAAAGGTTTGTTTGGTATATTAAATAAGATTTTTTAAAATTTATTTTCAACATTATCGTTATTGAATAGAATTTACCATTTTGTTCCACTATCTACCACCATCTTTCAGCTCAGTTGCATTCTTCCAAGGATTTTTATGAAGACCATTCTGTAGAGACAAGAATCAATGGTAATGGGGGGGGTGCCAGCTGAGCTGTAATAATTTTTGTCTAATCACTAAAGAAATGTATTTTGGGATTTTCCTCATGGAATATTACATCCCTTGTAACTAATTCCATACAGATGTTTTTTGTCAGCTGCTGCCTGCAGTTGCTCTAATTGGGTACAGTACTTTGAATCCATTGTTTATTTCACCATATAGCTCATAGTAGAGGACTCCTAATCCCATCAGATATATAACATCATCTTTGGATGATGAATTCTTTTTCTTTTCTCTTTCCCCACAATCTTTTGCATACTATATTGGAAAATATCCACCTTTTAATCATTCAGCACAACTTTTTTAAGTAGTGAAACACATGTGAAAATAGGTGCAATATGTATCTTTACCATAACTTATGTGGAAGCCACACATCAAAATGAGTACCATAACCAAACTGGTAGAAATTAGATTTTTATGATTAATTTTAATATTTTGAGTATGTTGACTTTACTTCAGATTGTATAACATTGATTATTCTCAAGTGATCTTTAGATTTAATCATAATCAACCTCAACTGTTCTATCCTGCCATGGAGCCTTTTTTAGCATGAAACTTTACAAACCACTTTTGATATGTCTGATCATTCTATATATATATATATATTATAAATTTACTAATTTAAAAATATGGTTCCATTGCTACACAAGAATTACCATGTTTCAAAAACAGAAGCTAAAAACTTCAAATTCAATTATAGAATTAAATTAAAGTCCCTAGTTCTGTTTCATTTTCAAGCAAATTTTATAAGCACATACATTCATAATATTAGTTTCTAAGGATATGGGCAAATCCAATCATTTTAACAAGTGATGGTAGGGTGTTCATTTTCACTGACAACTACTGTATCAAAATATGAGTTACTTTCAAAAAGGGGTTAAGTCAAGGTAGGGTAGTGGTGCCTTTTCCAACAAATGATGACATCCGTTCAACGCATGTCGTCTGGTCTTTTTCAGTGACAAAAAGTTTTTCAGCATTTTTGTTTCGCCGTTAAATTTGTACTTGTATACATAAAGATTTTTTCTAAAAGGGTTGTTTGTATATGAATACACTGTATTGAACTACAATTTTAAAATATTATTCTTAATTTTAATTACTAATAGACTATACATCTTTTAAAACAAATAAATTTAATAGAATTACTTAAATTATCAAAAAATTATTATTAAATATCAAATATAAATATGTATGTTTCATTTATCAGCATTTTTTAAACATTAAGGAAAATTTTCAACAATATTGGTAAAGAATAGTTATTTCATTTTTTTGATTCAGTAAATTTTTATTTTTTATAAACCTAGTAATATATAGTTTCTCATGTATGCACAAAGGACATGGGTCATTTAATGACCTACATATTCTAGCTTTTCTAATTAATTTCCATTTCACAGTAGGTGTTTTATTGGTTTCTTTTAAGTGCCAGAAATATTTCGATAGGGACGTCTGATTTTGATATTTATTTATCCTAAAAGAACTTTGATGTTGGTTGAACTGCTTCTTGAACTCATGTCTTGTGCATCCAATGTAGACTTTTACATTGTCTGTTTCCTCAATAGATGAGATATTGAATTGGTACACTAATGATTCAATGTGACATTTATTATTAAGAGGACAGTTATGAGTATTTCTACAGTTACATAATTTTTTTTTATCTTCATCTCTTGTCTAAATTTCTTTGGTCTTGTCTAAGTGTTTATTTAAGATATTAGCATTATGTTTCTTAATAATTTTTTCCAAGTTTTCAGTACAGCTGTAACTTAATTTTAGGGTGTCTTTATTGAAAATAGTACTGAGTTTACTATCTTTAGGAAAATGTTTAATGATTAATGTGAGGAATTTTTGACCTAATTTGTCCTTTACCATTTGGTTGTATGGGGGTGTGTACCAAATTATTTTTCTAATTCTGTTTAATTCTATACTTTTCATTTTTTATGTAAGTTAGCTTTGGGATTTTGTAGCCAATATCTTTTAGAGCTTTATTATAGAAATAATATGTTCATAGAAAATCTTCTCATTTGCTGATTTATTTATTTATTTTATCCATAAACTGCAAAAATCCTTTTTAGCATTTGATTTGCATTATTACTTAAAAAAAATATGTCTAAAATATTTTCTTCCCTGTTCAATGCTACAGGTCATTTACAAAAATGTAAGAGTTTAAACAAAATTCATGTTGATGTGACAGCTGTCATAATTCAATCAAAAGTGATCTTTCTGAACAAAGTTAATTAAAACTAAATGCTCTTAATGCAATCTAACAATAAATGTACAAGAAACCTTTTCAATTCCCCAATATTATACTTTGTGATATATATTTTGATTATGGAACTAAAAATGCTGGCAAAGTTCTTATGAGTAGAGGTATTTGATGTCAGGGCAGATACTTAAATGAATTTAAAGTAACTTATACATTGTTAGCTGCCTAGTAAAATATCTGCCTTTAAATCTATACAGACATCATATAGGTCTGGATCCTATTATTCTTGATTGATTCTCCTCTCATTTTTCTCTCTTTTTCTGAGAAAATTACATTAAACCTCTTCTGTAATAGTACTACTCATAAAATAGACATTTTATTAATAAATACTGTTTTCCTCTATAGTTTAGGTTTGCATAGATAACATGACTTTTGTACTTACATAAAATCAATTTTATTTTTGACATCCATTTATTATTTTAAATAATTGCAATAAGAAAAGTAAAGAAATAAACATTTGTCACATTATAAACATCTATATATGTTCTCTTTTACATCCAAATTTGAACTTGTGGCAGACCCAACCCACTTACCAAAATTTGACTAAATGATCACAGATCAGATATTCTGGAAGCAGCAAACCCTTCTTGGTCAGGCACTTTTCAGCCTCCCTTCAGCATCATTTCTTTTGATGAAACCAAAATCTTAACCATATCTAATATTTTAAATTTTTATAAAGACTCAATACTGGTTTCTTTCTTCCTTGTCTCTTGGAAGATCAGGGATTCAGTTTTGATTATTCATAAGAAACAGAAAAAATGTAATGAAATATGGCATATAATTATATATAGAGTATATTTTTCTGACAGATTTTATTGGTATCACATGATACCATTAATAGATAATCCAAATCCAGAGGCCTTCTCACTCCATATCTTCATGGGTGTAGCCATACTCATCATGTTTAGTTAATCGCAGGTTGGTGGGGCTATTTAACCCATAGTTGGAGGTTTTGAATTCAGAGTTGTCTTTCCACTAGATCAGTTACCACCCATGGCTATAGGACCCAATCTGTTCTGCTATTTACCTATAGCTGGAGCAGGGAGGGGGGAGAGATAGATTCATATCTTTCCCAAGGATATTTTCACATAAGTGAATGTAACAAACTCAATTGGAATTAGAACTCTACTCTCTGATTCCTCAGTCTGATCTGTTATCCATTACTCCACCATGCCTCCATAACAGAGTATTGAATATCTTGAATGACCGTTATCATCTGACAATGAATTTTTATCAAGAGTAATCAGAAAGCCTTACTCTATGAAGCGAGGAGAATTGAATCAAAGAACATATATCTTGTGTGAACTTAGTCATTCGACCAATGACAGACTTAAAATCATTTTCTCTTTGTTTTATTTCAGAATATGTCATCAAGCTGGAACCACAGTGGCGAGAGTAATGCAAGTAATCCAGCAACAAATAACTCTGACAATGCATCTGAGGATATGTCCAATGATGCTGAGGGTGTGTGGAGCCCCGACATTGAACAGAGTTTCCAGGAAGCTTTGGCTATTTATCCACCATGTGGACGTAGGAAAATTATTTTGTCAGATGAGGGCAAAATGTATGGTGAGTAAATAGCCATTTTGTTTCTTTAATTTTCCTTGTAGTGTCAAAACAAAAATTGAATATATTATAATATATTAATAATGATCTTTAATCTAGATATTTATTTTCAAGACAAAATTGTGAAATTAAAAATACTTCAAGCATGTCTAGCTTTAATTCTGTACTTTATGCCTTATAACATCTTTAACTTTTACCTGGATGCATGTATAAACAGAATACATTGTAATTCTATTATGTTATGCAACTGTGATAAAATATCCATAAAATAGGAGAGAGATAAATAATTGGCACAAACAAAAATTTCTTCAACATCATACATGTGACTTTCATATGTGTGTTTAAATATTATATCCATTTTTGATGGAGAATATTCTGATGAGAAATATCGAGTACTGGCTAGTCATTATCTTATGTTTGAATTCTACTGATGACACTGGTCTTAAACTCCCTCTAAATGTATAAAAGCAGCTATGATGCTAATAATTCTTTAATTCATAGTGATTACATTTTATAAGTTATAGAGTAGTAAGAATTTCAGTTTTTATTTTAATGCTCTATTATTTTGTAATCAACCTGAATCAATTTTTTTGGTAACTTGCAAATGTCTTTTTACATCTGAAGTCAAAATTTTGTGTTGGATTTTTTTGCAAAAAATGAAAAAAAAAAAAAAGAATGAATTCTTCTTGTCATGATTCTAAAACAGTTTTATGTAACCATCTAAGATGTGATTTATACAGTGGTTAAAGGTACATAGCTATTCTTAATTGGGTTATTCTTTAGATAGGAACATGTTAATACTGCACAAGTTGCTTAAAGAAGTGTAAATAAGTGTGTGTGTGTGTGTGTGCCCCCTCCTATTCAATTATTAGTCAATAATGCTAATATAACTCTTATTTGTTGCATCAAGAAATAACAGTATAATGTGTCAAGCAGGAATATTTTACATAGAAATAATATCTTCTGATGGAATGAACAATAATGCATATGGATGCTTCTCATTTAGAATTCTCTGTTCAGTTATCCAATAGATTTAAAAACTCTGTTTTGCTTCCAGGATCTAGTCAAATTTGAATATTAGAATGTTCCTGGTAATTTAGTCTTACATGTAAGAAAAGTTATAAAATGTTAAACCCTGTAGTGAAAGAGATAATCAGTTACCCCCCCAAAAAGTTTGTTTTGTGTGCAATGTGCCGAAGAAAAATTACCAAAAAGTAGTCAGCAAATATCTACATCAATGACTAGAAGCTATGCTAATGTTCTTCCCTCCCCTGAATGGCGTGACCAATCAGAAAATTCTCTCGGTGAACAGAAGTCGTTGTTTTTCGCTTATAAAAGGAGATGAATTTTTGAGCTGTAAAACGAACACGTGTTGTTGTTGGCGAGAAGTGATGGTTGGATTTGTGACCCCATTTTGTCGTTTCTACGGTGTGTGTTGGACTGTTACGTCGGACTATCGTGTGAACTGCGATTTGGCGACAAGTGTTGCAGCCAAGAAACAAGAAATCTATTGCAGTTGCTACTATCAGTTGACAGTCTTTTCTTTACTACAAACCCTTACAAATCAAGTAATGTCATACCACAACACTTATCACTAAACCATACTTAATTTTGTAATAATATCCAATGTGGGCAAATACTTATTCATCTTTTCTCATAACTGTCATCTTTATCAGCACTTCATTTATTGCTCTTTCCACTAATATTAATATTAGATCAATATTATTACAGTTATTAATTAATAAGTTAGTTAAGATGTGGTACAAGTGGATTTACAAGATTGTTACCAGTCAAGGCTAAAGAGCCCAGTCTATCTAACTATTTTACTCATGGCTTGGGTGGGGGGCACAACTTCATATCTTTCCCAAGAGGAATAGTATGAAATGAACACCAACTTGTCTTAGCTGAAATTTGAACTCTTTTATAACTGTAACATATCCATTAAAACTATTACTCAGTTGCCTCAATTGTGAACAATCATGATTAACAGTTTTTAAGCATAATAAGGATGTTGTTGCACATTGCTGTAACTGTCATTAAAATTAAACAGCACAAGATTTATGCCATTAATATAAATGTTTGCTGCTACAGCAATATTCTTTCTGTCTATGTATATAATTAATGGTTTATTAGTTGGTGACCGAGATAGTAAATATTATCTGAGTAATAATAATTGTTTATCTAGCATTTTATGTTGATTGGTTCTGATTGCAATAGGCAGACGACTTCTATTCAGGCTTTCCTTAATTCTTTCTAAGCACTTACTTTCTCTTCAAGTACTCTTGAACTCGCAGATGTTACTGTTATCCTCCTTGAAACCTCTTCACCTCATGAATTCACCTGCACTTTTTGCTTATTGTCTGCTAGTTTCTCTAACAATTACTGAAATCAGCAATTTTCCGTGTTAGTGTGTATCAAACCTAATAAGACATGACAACACAAAACAGCCTTATTTGCTTTTAAATCATCAAACAAGATATTTTTCTAACTTTTCACTACTAAAATATGAAAAATTAACACCTAGAAAAAAAAGTCTAATGCGATTTCATTAAATCTATGGTGCTGGCAATTTTAAATCCAAATTTCAATTTGAATCTTATGTTTTATTTTAATCAATAGCTGCAAGAATGTATGGGCAAGTAGTTGATGACAGATCAGGGTTAAATGATGTCTATTTTATTTAGAAAGTAATCAGTTTCTTCTCATTACATCATTTTAATGAGGACAGATTAGGATATGTTTAAAATAAACTTCATTCTGTTAAGTTATATATGGACAGGGTATGCTGTAAATTATTTTTTCAAGGCCACTATCATTTACTGTATTTTTAAATGTTCATACCCTTTTCATGCAAAAAAGATATATATTTAAAAATTTACAAATTATTGCATTTTAATATTTATTATTTTTAAATAGAGATCTGTAATTTTTGCAATCATAATAAACTTGATTCATTTTAATTTTTGACCATAAAATTAATTTCCCTAAACCCCCAAAGATTTATAATGTAAATTAAAATTATGATGGGAAGAGTTAATTGATTTTTTGCTTAAAAAGCTCTACATTTAAAGGATATATAATGTTCAATACCAGTTGAAATGATAAACAACAAATAAGACATATGATTGCATTAATAAATATTTTTCTTTTATTTGTTAAAATATGCTCTAAGAATTTATATCAAAATTATTTTAATTTACAAGATATGACTTTGTAAAAGTAGTTTTAATTAATACAAAGAATGCCATTCTACAAATAAATGAGCCTGTCAAATGTTTCATGTCCAGAATAAGTCATTTGAAGTTTTTAATGCAAATAAACGTTAATATTTTCTACAGTTTTGCATTCAGATTTCTAATCTGATGGGAAAAAAAAAATCCATAGAATTAGAAATTTGATTGCATAGTAAACTATAATTATAAAATCTTTTTGATGTTTATTGCTTCTGGCTTTAAAATATGACCTTGAATAACAAATCACCTAGTTAAAAAGTTGAGTTCCAAGAAACATTTCTTTTTCTTTGCTACAGTCTTGTAGTAATCAGTTACATTTTTAGGGCCATTTTAAGGGGACCTTTTAATGCAAAAGATGTCTTGAGGATTTTCAATGTAATCAATGTAGGAACCACTCAAAAACTGTAATACCGAAGGTTTAAATTGAACTTTTAAAAATGAAAACTCTTTCTTGAAGCTTTTATTTTAGTTTTAATTTCAAGCTAATAGATTAAATTTAATATTTCCAATAAGCAAAATACTTTGTTGTATTTCAAAAACTAATTTAAATTGACTGGAGGGAGGTTTTTTTTTTTTTTTTTAAATAGCTAACAATTGCTGATTTAAGTGCCATTTTTCAAGAAAGATTTTTCATTTTTTTAAAATTCATTTTAAACTTTAGTTATCAGGTTTTTTGGAGTTACCTAACTAAATTTCCGCACAAATTAATTTGGGCATGGATCTAGAAATTGATAGGCAAAGTCTCTTTTACTTTCACTTGAGTTTATCTAACAGATGGCGTTTCTAGAACTGCATGCTTGTAGTTTTAGATGGTAATGCATCTATGAGGAAGTACTATAAGAAAGCTTGAAATTCAGTGTATGTCATTTTGCCAAAGGGTAAACAACTTTGTTTTTCATAGCGTTAAGCATGTCGGATTTTGTGCCAAAGAAAGTGTATTTTCAGGGAATTTTACTGCACTACCTTATTCAAAAGAAAGCTGAAGCACACAGAATTCTTGTTGAGACTCTGTCAGAAACAACATACAGAAATTGGTTTAGACGCTTAAAAAAATAATGATTTTGATGTTGAAGATAAAGAACACTCTGGCACACTGAAAATGTTTGAAGACAAAGAATTGGAGGCATTACTGTAATTCCCGATGTATAATATGCATTTTTTTTTTTTAAAAAGAATAATAAGCAAAATTAGGGGTGCGTATTATGCACAACTACAAAAATATCTAAAAAAAACTGCCGTTTCATAGGTCGATTTCAATTGCAAAATGACTACTCAATACAAACATATGACAATTTGACACTTGCAACTCTGTAAGGATGTCAAATATAATCATATGTACCTAACAATACTTCAAATGTAAAATAAAATAAGAATTATCATAAAACTAAATTAGAATAATATTATTCTATGTTTAAAACCATTTTTTCAAAATACGAATAGGAAATGCTGGCCATAATGAAATTGGAGAGGTACATTTTATAGGGTTTGATTACGAAACAAGGGGTGCATATTATGCATGAATAGAAGTATTTTACCCACACTTTTTCAGCAGAATTTTGGGGTACATATTATGGATGAAGACATATTATATGCAGGAAATTATGGTACTTCATGAAGACTCATGTAAGGCATATTGGGTGCTGTATGAGTTGAAACCAAGAGACATCGAATGACATCTTGTCACATGTGAACAGCTGCTTCAACAGCAGAAAGGGAAAAGTTTTTTGTATCATATTGTGACTGATGATGAAAAGTGGATACAGTATGATA